AAATAAATAAAAAATATCAAAGTTGCATTTTTTAAATAGAACACCCTGTATATTACTACATTTTTAGTTTCTACGATTAAAATAAAGGTAAATTTGATTAAGGTTTATCACACTTAAACCTCACCGTTTTTGAAATATTTAGGGTTTTGGCAAAATACAGTAATAATTTTAATGCTTCATTTCTCCTAGCGTATTTAAGTCTTTAAAACCAAATATTGTACTGAAGAATTTCTATTTACTGAATTTTGTGTTGCAATAGTAAAAATTATACTACCTTATACAGAGTGTCTAAAAATTTATTTTAAAAAATTACTAGCCTTAAACGACAATAACTTGTTTAATTTAAACGGAACATCCTGTATATTTTATGAGAATCAGATGCACAATTTAATTGTTTATTAAATTGTATTATACTATTTTTTACCTATGTCTTCAATTTTTCGTACAAAATGCATTTCTTATAATTTGGACCACATTTATCAATATACCTATGAAATATTGACATTTTAGATTATTTTTAAAGATGTACCAAGTTTTTAAAGAAAAAGTGGTAAAAAATGATAGTAAAAAAGTGGTAAAAAATACAATTTGATAGACAATTAAATTGCGCATCTGATTCTCCTAAAATATACGGCAAAAGTTATTGCCGTTTAAAAGTGGAAATTATTTAAAATACATTTTTAGACGCTCTGTATAAGGTAGTATTATTTTTATTATTGGAACACAATAACTGATCAATATATAAACTTCAGTAAATATTTAGTATTAAAATCTTTGATACCCTTGGAGAAATGAAGTCTTAAAATTCTTAGTGCAATTTCCCAAAATTGAAAATATTTCAAAAACGGTCAGGTTCTCGGTCAGGTTTAAGTATAATAAACCTTAATCAAATTTACATTTATTTTTATCGTAGACACTAAAATTGTTATAATATACAGGATGTTCCATTTAAAAATATATAACTTTGATATTTTATATTTATTTGGGACACTCTGTATTTTGTAAAAATATTTTTAAATTGTAGGTTCAGTAGTCCTTCAACGAACCCAAAACTTACAATTTGTAAAAATCTAATAGTTTAGCTGCGGTACTCCGTGTCGTATGTGGTGAACAACTCTGTATACTAGTGGAGGAATTTCCATTCATGTTGTCCATTCTGTTTGTGATCTTGATGTGATGAATTAGGCGCGATTCTAACTATAAAGTTGCGTCATCGTCACGTCTAGCTGCCGCGCCGTCTCGACAGAAAGCATGAAATAAATGAGAGGTGGACGTTGCTACGACGCGACGTTACGAGTAGTGTGAATGCAATTGCCATTGTTGGCAATTTAAGAATACGTACCGTGGTGGCCCGCGGCTCGACGTGACGGTGGCGGGACGTTCTGGTGAGAATCGCACGGGCGGGAACGGAGCGGATCCGGGAAAAAAATGTACGCCGACATTTCTGGGACGGGGCACGGACGAGTTCCGGCGAAGCTCGGATCGTGCTCGGCCTGGCATAAATGTATATGTGTAAAGAACACTTGACAATGTTTGGCCGTGTCTTCACCGACGCACGGCTCGGACCCGTTACGGTGTAGCGTGAAGCATCCTTTACTGTCAACATCACGCAATCTTATAAGTTATATTTTTATTGATTGATGTCCATTGTATATCAGTATAGACATAGGTATACTAGACATTATACAGGGTCCGGCAATAGTGCGTCGGGCATCTGTAGCCACTAGAATAAAAAAAAACTGGGGGATTTTGTTTAAGTGCAAACTTATGTACTAGGATGTATTTCAGGAAAATATTTTAACTTCTATCGAGTGGCTCAAAAAAGTGTGAGTAGATTGGGCTGATTTTTTTTAAACGGAACACCGTGGCTTCCTTTCAGATCACTTTACATAATCCTAAGATATGGGTAAATATGTTTCGATAGTTTCAGAGATATTAATAAATAAATAAGAAATATCTATTTTCGAGCCTTTAATAAAAATATTATTTAAAATACAAGAACTGTCCTGAAATCAAAACTATATTAGGTATTTATTTTAGATGATTTGTACTTACTTTGCTATAAATATGGTAATCGTAAATGATACAGGATATTCAAAATTCTACGCCGAACTTTCTATACTATAATATAATTTATCTTCGTTTTCTTAAATGGAACATTTTGTATATTATTTTTTTAATAGATGGAGAACTAAAAAATGTGCATTTTTGTATTTAGAGTATTTCACAATTTTTAACGGTTTCCCAGATATTCGAGGTTATATATATATCAAATCGCATTTTTCACAGTAAATTTTTAAGCCATATGAAATAATAACGCGAGTATCTGCGAAACTGTTAAAAATTTTGAAATTCTATAAATACAAAAAATGTTTTTTAATTCTCCTTAAAAATAATATACTAATATAGAGGGTGTTCCATTTAAAAAAAGACAAGAAAAATTATTTGATATCTCAGAAAGTTGTACTGTAAAGTTAAAGTAAACCAAACCAAACACACTGTATGATTGAAGATTATGATATTTATAATAAAGTAAGTATAGACCATCTAAAGTTAATACCTCATATAGTTTTGATTTCAGGACAATTCTTATATTTGTAATAATTTTTTTTAAATTCGAAAACTTCAGAACAAAATCTAAACAATAAAGCAAAGATATGTTCTCATATTTGACAGAATATCAAATAAATTATGGAAACTTTTCAGGCATAAAACGGGTACGAAATATTTATAAATGTGAACCACATCTGTTTCTTAAAAGTTTCGAAAAATTTGTGACACTAAAATCTTTGTTATTATAGCTTATGCAGCAAAAACCATATATTTTGGTAAAATGTTTCGAAACAAAAAGCGATTTTTGTTACGAAACATAGGTATGTATCAAAAATGTGACGAAACTGTTTAGTAATGTTTCTCAACAGAGATTTTGTTTCGATTTTGTGTCTAAAAATGCTACTTGAGATAGAATTAGTCAATTCGATCCGGGATCTATTGCCTAATAGGTATTAGACAACGATATGCAGAAACAGGAGGACAATCATACTAAAAATACGAAGGGAGATATTATTAACTTTTGCCTATTATTTATTTTTAAGAAATGGGTATATACCAAATTAACTGTGTGTAACTTGGAGTGAACTAGTATTAATTCACGGGTTCCCAAACGTGGTATTTGATGATTTTTAACCATATTTTTTTCAAAATGAAAAATTATTATTTGGTTTTGAAAATGCCATATTTATTTTAATATTCCCAAACCATTGATATAATTAAATTACAAAGCTCTATTTTCAAATCTAAAATTCACTATTTGTCAAATAAGCGGAAATCCAACACACGAAACATAAAGCCCTGTCCGGGACATAGTTATTTTAATTAAATTAATAACGGGCAGCAAGAACAAACGCTTTAACGCTAAAAACCTCAATCCCGGGCCTTTGTAAGTCGCATGTAGGCAACGTAAAACACGGTATTTAGGCGGCCGGCCTCGCGTGATCGAGCTGGAATTATTAAAACGCCGATTATATCAGCATTAATGTTCTAGACATGCTTTTCATGCCGCATGGAAATTTTTCGTTGAGGCCGTAGCTATTCGAGGGAAAGTATTTCGGTTTCCACAGAATTTTTCGGGGTAAATTTACGGAAGGTCATTTATATTACTTGGCTCGTTAGGCTTTTAATATATTTCGTAATTATTTTAAGTTTATTAAATTCTTTTTAGTTTTATTAATACTTACATTCTTTCTTTTACGGCCAGCGTAATTTTTTATTGCATTTTTGTTTTTAGATTCATATTTAAAGCACATAGTGTAATTTCGACTCATATGCTTTTCTTTATGATTTTATTAATTTGATTGCCGTTAAGTGATTTAAAATTACAAGCATGTGCGTTGTACCGCCAAAATTTATAGCAGACTTGATAAACAACAACAGGAATGCTGTCAAAACTGTACTTTGTCTACCAACGGTCCATTTCTACCTTTTTAGATTTCTAAAGCTGATGAGATTAAGCTTGATTAAGATGAAGCTATGTGCAGGAAGGAACAACATTTCATGTCAATGTGACTACAGGACAAATGTGCGGCTATTTGTAATAGGCACTGATAAATCACCCAAGTAGCATTTGTGGACACATTTTAGGTAATGCTTCTAATAATTGTGTCTGTTTCTTGACACAAAATGGAAACGGTATACAACAAATAGGAAACATTTTCGAAATCAATAAATATTTTATATTGCTTTATTACATGTGTTCCAATGTGGTGGTCACTAGCCGTTTCTTGAAATATTTCGATGCGAAATCAAAATTTTTTGAGGAAATGTTTCGAAACATTTTCTGTAATTTGTAACCAAGATGTTCCCGTTTTCAGCAGGCACTCTTTCTAGATGTGAAGAATCAAAATACCAAACTAAAATAGTCTATATCTGTGCATGGATTTCAAAATGAAAACAACCATCAACAATGTTGACCTTCGCCCCTTTTCTCGCACAAAAAATAGCTGGCAAAAGGAAATTCATCGTTTAATTTAATAACGTACTTTCATATTTTTAATGCCCCTTCTATATATCATTATTTATTTGTTGCTGCAAAATATTTTTACGAATTTGAAATAGAGATTTTTATTTTTATTTCTATATCACGGTTCTAAAAATAAAAATATATAAATTAATGTAAATAGAACGCTTTCTTATGAGTTTAAAAGCTCAACAGCAGATAAAAATATATACTTTAGTTAAAGAAGCTATCACTAGCCAACATGGCGGGATTTTAATTCATTATTTTATAAAATTGACATAGAGTCCGGCATAAATCATCTACATTATATCATATCTGTGTCTAAAGAGAGGGAGAGAGAGAAAGTCGTGTTTCGAAAACGAATCGAGGTCTTCTTAGGTCTTCCACGTTTTCTTCGATGTTGGGGTATCCATTGCATAATTTGTTTTGGAAGTCGTGTGTCATCCATCCTCTGGACATGTCCGTACCACATAAGTTGTTGGCGTTAGATGTCGGTTGCCAAAGATCCCTCTATTCCTATCCTCTGTTGGATTTCTTCGTTTCGGACCCTATCTCTTCGGGAAATTCCTAAGGTTCTTCTATAGGCATCCATTTCTACCGCTTCCAGTTTTTTTCGGTTGGCTTCCGTTATTCGCCAAGTCTCTGCACCATAAAGTAGACTTCTCTTTACCAGGGTCTCGTATATATTGATCTTCCGTTTCTTCCCTATTTCATTACTCCAAAATACTCCATTCAGACAGCCAATTGTTCTTCTAGCTTGTGATATTCGTTTTTTAATTTCTTTGTCATCTTTAGCTGTTGTATCAAATATCACTCCTAGATAGGTGTAGTCATTGCAGGCTTCTATCTCTTCATTTTCTAGATGTACGCTAGATAGTTCTGCACCAATAGATAGATATCTAGTTTTTTCTGTATTTATTTCCAAACCCCATCGTTGATATTCCTCTGTAGTTTCCTTGTCATGTACTCCAAATCATCTTTATCGTTGGCCATAAGAACTTGATCATCTGCGAACTGCAGGGTATATAGACAGGTATCTCCCAGATTAATGCCCATTCCATTACATTTTCTCTTCCATTGTCTCAAGGCCTTTGCTACATATATTTTAAATAATGTGGGAGAAACACAGCATCCTTGTCATAGACCTTTATTGACAAAGAATCTTCCAGATAATGTGTTGCCTATTTTAATTTGTGATGTCGATTCTTCGTACAAGTTTTTCAGAGCTCTAATTAAGGTGTAGTTAATGTTGGTGTCCTGTAGTACCTTGAACAGTCTGTTAACTGGAACGGTATCATATGCTTTGTGAAGGTCAATAAACATGAGGTGTGTCTCCTGATCAATACTACTTTTTTTCTCTATTAGTTGTTTCACACAGAAAATATTATCGGTACAGGTTCTCCCAGTCCGAAAACCAGATTGTTCCTCCTCTTCTTGTTGTTGGTATTCCTGTTCTATTAAATCTCTAAGGATCCGTCCATATAATCGACTTAGGGTACTTGTTACTGATATACCTCTATAGTTGGAGCACACTTGTTTATTTCCCTTTTTGTGGATTGAGGATATATAGGCGATTTTCCACTCCTTTGGTATTGGGGCGCCGTTTAAGAATCTATTAATACACCAGGTTAAGGCTTTAAATAGTTTTTCTGTTCCACATTTTAACAATTCACCTGGAATATTCTCCGGTCCCGGGGCTCTGTTATTTTTCAGTGCTGCCACTGCCTTTTTCGTTTGCGGTATGTCGATGTTAATAACTTCTCCGGAAATATTTATCTCTGTGGGTGATATTGTGACGTATTCCTGCCTATTTTCCGTTAAGAGTTCTTCGTAGTATTCCTTCCATTTATTCATTGGTATTAATTGTAGCTTGGCCGTCTGATTTTCTGAGGTTTTGACTTGGTTTATGAACTTCCATGACTCGGCACACTTCCTTCCTTCCAAATAGGTATTTATTTCTTGACATATCTCGAACTATTAACTCAAAATAACTAATATATTTTTACTTACTTATTATAACATAATTAAAACATAAAAACATGTAAAATAAAACGTATAATAAATAATTATAAAATTGCGTAAGAAAGATATCTGTATTTGTACCCATCATATGTACTACCTTCAGATATTTTAATTATAGTACTACAATAACTTGATGAATCTTTAAATGCAAAAACTGCAGAACAAAATACAGACAATAAAGAAAGGTTATGTTCTCATATTTGACAGAATATCAAATAAATTATTGAAACTTTTCAGGCACAAAACCGGTACGAAATCTGTAAATGTGAGCCACATCTGTTTCTTTAAAGTTTCCAAAAATTTTTGACACTAAGATCTTTATTGTTATAGCTTATGTAGCGAAACCATATTTTGGTGAAATGTTTCAAAACAAAAAGTTATTTATGTTGCGAAACATATGTATCAAAAATGTGACGAAACTGTTTCGGAATGTTTCTCAGCAGATATTTTGTGTCGATTTTGTGTCTAAAAATGCTACTTGGGCATTGACAAAAAACTATATGATGGGTTAGGTTTGCAAGTCATTTTTGAAAAAATACTTTTTAGGAATATAATAATGGATAAAAATATTATAAAACAGGAACAATAGATCTTATAAGAGTGGAACTGGCCGATAATCACCTCAAAAACTAATCTATATAATATAATAATCTATATCTATATTTATAATCATATTTTTTGTTTTCACTCTTGGCTTTAGGTCGTTGGGGTTGCAAAGATGTTTCTAGATTTTGTTCATTATTTTTTTATTTTATGACGACGTTTCGACAGTATATAATCATATAGATATGTTTGTTAGCATAATCAGCAGATGATCAAAACTGAGTTTTAATCATCTGGTGATGGTTATATATGTTTGGTAACAAGGTTAGCGAAACGCGCTTCCAGTGCAAAAGTAAAGTGTTTTGGTGTATTTTGGCGAATTAGTGTTTTATTTTGCTGTTGTAACACTAAAGGTTTCAACCCCCTATAATTCCAACATCACGATAATGTATAAAAGTAATCTATTAAAAGATTTTGTTGAAAAAAATACGCAACTAAATACTTCAATCGATGCTTCCGAGCGTTTTTTTTAAGTCCTCATTTATTTAGCACGAAATCTATTCTAATTAGTTGATACAGACTGTATAGATTAATATGTATTTTATGTATTCCATTGTTTAATCAATCGTTGAAGTTAATCATTTTACCAAACAAAACATAGGCAAAATTTATCCCTTTGTGTTTGTTGTTTATGTTTATTCTGTTTTTTAGTTTTGGCGAATAATCCTGTTAAAATCATACTGCAGAAGGAATATCTGCAATACAATCGATTGCCAAAAACATGGACGGGCGACGTGCTAAATATAATTTTAGCTGGAAATGGGCGGCCGCATTTTATTAGGATCGCGTTAGCGAATGATTTCGTAATGAATCCCGATATGGAAGTTTTCGATAAAATAACATTATAAAAAATTGGTTTGTGTTAGTATAAATATTCAGTCTATTTTTTGTTATACAGGGTGGCGCACCTCATTCGCCTCGGTTGATTATACGAAAACGGAAAGATATAGAAACAAAATATTTTATGGGTATATGTGGGGAGGTTATGTGCACAATTTAAAATTATTTTGAAATGTACAGGGTGTTTCAGAACTTAGATCCATATCAAAGTTATATTTTTTCTTACGGAACATCCGGTATTTTATTTCGTTTTTGGATTCTTGTGCATTTATTATAAGGGTTAAATATGTTTAAAATCTTTGGTTTTTGAGATATTTAAAGATATTTAAATTTGCATGCCACAATAGAATAGATTATTAACACCCTGTACATTACTTTTCAGAATAATCTTGTGCTGAATTTAAATGTAGAGAAATAAACTTTACTAAAAAATTGTATTGGTTTATTAAATTTATACAGGGCTATCAAAAGTTGCTGATCTATTTTAACGATATATTTTATATAAAAACTTCGTTATTTCAAATGCAACACCCTGTATTTTTTTAAATAAGTCGAAGCAGATTTAAATGCTCTTTCAAACTATATTAGGGTTTCATATACCTATCTGGCTCAGATTTTGAATAAAAAGCAATTTTTCAACAAAATTGTAATCACGATGGCTAGTATTGTCATGGCAAGTTTCTAGTGACAGTTTCAAAATCGAAATTAGTTTATGGACTTATTTAAATTTATACCAGTTTACTTTTATTTAATTTACATACAATAGTTTAATAAATAATATTTATTATATATGTGTATATTATTCTATCAAGAAAAACGAAGAAATAGTTCTTTGAATTATTTTACGATGACTTGTAGATATATGGATTTCCTATAAAATAGCCAATTACGGCAAATTCATTTTATTCACTCCCAACGACAGGTTTCTGCCTAATAGGTTTTTTTTATAAACCACACTACCAGCTCTGCAAAATAGGACAAGAAGTTTTTCAAAGAAACGCTTATCAGGAAGATTCCTATTTGGATATTTTTGAGCATAAACCCTTGAGGCCAAGAAGCAATTTTCCTCACAAAATAATATCACTAGTAACATCTCTATTCGTTCCGCCAGCAAATACTGCTTTATTTTTCTTGATAAAATAATGAATACTTACCTATTAAACTATTGTAGGTAAATTTAAGTAAACTGTTATAAATTATAAATAATAATGTCCATAAACTAATGTCGACTTTGAAAATAGTTACTAACTGTCACTAGAAAATTCCCATGGCGACACCAGCCATCTTGAATGCAATTTTATTTATAAATTGCTTTTTATTCAAAATCTGAGGTAGATTGGTATAGGAAACCCTAATATAGTTTGAAAGAGCATTTGAATCTGCTTCGATTTATTTAAAAAAATACAGTTGAGTGTTGCATTTGAAATAACGAAGTTTTTATATAAAATATATCGTTAAAATAGATCAGCAACTTTTGATAGCCCTGTATAAATTTAATAAACCAATACAATTGTTTAGTAAAGTTTATTTCTCTACATTTAAACTCAGCACAAGAATTAATTCTGAAAAGTAATGTACAGGGTGTTAATAGACTATTCTATTGTAGCATGCATATTTAAATATCTTTAAATATCTCAAAAACTAAAGATTTTAAACATATTTAACCCTTATAATAAATGCACAAGAATCCAAAAACGAAATAAAATACCGGATGTTCCGTAAGAAAAAATATAACTTTGATATGGATCTTAGTTCTGAAACACCCTGTATATTTCAAAATAATTTTAATTTGTGCACATTGTCTCCCCACATATACCCATAAAATATTTTGTTTCTACATCTTTCCGTTTTCGTATAATCAACCGAGGCGAATGAGGTGCGCCACCCTGTATATGTGTACCAATTTTTTTATATATAATTGATTAATAACTTTAAATTGTCAAATTTATTTTTAAATAAAATAATAGCATGTTTTTGGCCAATCTTCTGGTATAGGTACTGATTTTACAGGTGATTTTTTTCTATTTTTTACATTCCGATTAAAGTATTTTGTATTACTTCAATAACTTTCAAGATTTGAATATGCAATTTTCCAACCATTTTAGGTGAATTTATATTCTAGAGGGTCCAGCAATAGTGCGTCGGACATCTGTAGCTCATTAAATAAAAAAGTTAGAAATTTTGTTTGGTTAGGTACAAATCTAGAGTATGTATTAGAGTGTATATCAAGAAAATATTTTAACTTCAACAGGGTGGCTCAAAAAAGTGTGAGTGGATCGGGAATATTTTTTTTAATGGAACACCCTGTATATTATTGTATTTTTTACTTCTTTTTTGATCAAAGATTTGGAAAAAGCTGATTTTTTTGAAAATCAATTTTATTTTTTCCTCTCGTTACTTTTTAGAAAATCAAAAAATTAATTGCACATTCTCATAGCCACTTTATTAGGGCTATCTGATAGTACTTTTAGATTTTCAAATTAGCTGCTAATTTGTGAGATAGAGAGGCCAACTTATTTTTTTTAAATACGGACCTGCATTTTTTATTTCAGATTTTGAAAGAACTCGGTCTCCTGAATACAATAATATGCCACACTTTATACTTTTTGTTGTTTTGGATACCTTAACAGCAATAAAACTTTTTAATTATTATTTAAAATAATTTCAAGTCCGACTCTGGTTTGTTAAATTATTTAATCTGATTATATTCATCGCAACAATATTGATCAGCGCTAATTAACATTGAAGAAGGAAAATCGAGCCAATTGGAAGATTCAAATAACCAATATCCAGGTCAGAAATTTAAAGATATTATTTTTAAGTTTTTTATTGTAAATTTGAAAACTCAGTGTGGCGATCTAATAATATGCATAATATTAATCATAGTTATTATAAATAAATCAACTTCTGCAAATTAATTTCTAATGTTCTGCATGTTCGAAAGTGTTACCACTGTGCCTATTGCACAAATTTATTTTTCGCTCAATTTTATTTATAGCTCTCTGAACTTTCTTTTTATAGCTCTTATACTTCCGAATGCATTTTGTACTCTTTATTGTAAATGTTGAGATGAATTGATTTCACTTTTACAAATGACATCAAATAATGTAGCCTACCTTGGCGATAGGTCCAGGAACCTATGATATGTTTTTATAGTTTCAAAGATATAAATAAATAAATGAAAAATATATATTTTTCAGCCTTTCTTAAGCATAATAATAAAGATCTTAGTGTCACAAATTTTTCGAAACTTTTAAGAAACAGATGTGGTTCACATTTACAAATATTTCGTACCCGTTTTGTGCCTGAAAAGTTTCCATAATTTATTTGATATTCATTCAAATATGAGAATATATATCCTTACTTTATTGTTTGGATTTCGTTCTGCA